ATGAGCAATGTGTGTGATGAAATCTGAACCATCCAAATTTAAAGTATTATTTAATTTTATATTCATTAAAATAAGAATTTAAAAAATTATTTATTTTATTATTTTTATTCTAGTTTAAATTTAATTTGAAGAATTTATTTTAATATTAAAATTTTTATAATTGCTATATATTGATTATCCAAATATACTCTATATAGTCTAGATTTAACTGTACAGAGTAAATTTAAATAGTCAATATATAGCAATTATAAAAATTTTAATATTAAATTGAACCTTCCAAATTAAATTTAGACCATATTAAAAATAAAAAATTTATGAAAATTATTTTATAATTAAATCTGGATTGTATATAGCACATCTGGATAATCAATATATAGCAATTATAAAAATTTTAATATGAAATTGGACTCTCCAATTTAAATTTAGATCAGACTAAAAATATAAAAAATTGTTAAAATTACTTCATAAATTTTTAGTTTAATAAACATAAAATAAAAATATATAATAATATTTTAAATTTAAATTATTTAAATCAAAATATGAATGGTTTAGATTTTAGCAAGCTCATCCCCTTATGAGCACCGTAGGCGGACCTGCGATAGTATATCCTATTGCGACTCCCACAAGACTCAGATACTGAAATATTCCACACAACTTCACATGAACTCCACCTGCATGCATGAAACATTTCACCATCTTCATTTATTCATCATAGTCTTCTTTAATTCCTACACACACACACACACACACACAGTTGGGGGGTGTTTGCGTAGGAGATGGTATGTACCAGTTCGTTTAAGACAGCCATCGTCGTCAAAGAATTTGTGGAGAGAGGTACGACAACATCAAGGGACTTCTCGATGTCGTCGAAAGCTTCATGTTGGCTAAGGTTATTCTTCGAAGCCATGTCATCTCTTGTGAAACACTCACTCGCCAAGGTGGGTATTTACGATGAGGTGGCGTCTCTTAAGAAACCGAGGCTGGCTATGAAAATGAAAGAGACAGAATAAAGCAGAACGATCATCAATTTGAAACTCGTGTTCATCAACTAATATCTTTATAAGTGATTCAATTCAAGTATTATTTTATAGTCCATCCAATATTTGTTCCTTCTGCAATAATCCTAAAATCGTCCTTGACGTGTTTAATAGATAATGAAGAATAGTGTGTCATTCATAAATTAAAGCATATATAGAAGACTGAATAAAGTAGAATATCGAAGGTCCAAAACAAAAAAAAAGGCAGCATATATTGAAGATAACCGTCCATTTAAAAAAAAAAATATATGTTTATGCGTGTAGGATTGAATGACGCTCCACATGAGTCTTTGCAGATGTCTTGTCAGACGCTGCGTTGGAAAAGAAGGGGAAGAAGGCACACACTGACATAGAATGTGTTTTGTTTTAAATTTGTTAAAAATTTATTTAATAAAAATTAATTTAATAAAAATTAATTGTTGTAATGAAATTTATGTTTGAATATATTTTTTTAAAAATTAATTTAATATATTAAAAATTATTTGGATTATGATAATAAAATGTAGTTTTAAATATATAATTATTAAAAGGACATTGATTTATAATGATTTATAATTTTTATTACATGAATGTAATATACTTTAAATATTAAAAAATATTACATTCATATTTTAAATAACATAAAATTTTATTTATAATGCTAAAAACTTGATCTCTAGTTATTTGTATTTTTTTAATTTATAATTTTAGAAATGTGATAAAGATTTATAATTTTTATTATATATTAATTTTACAAATTAACATGATTAATTATTTAATTTATAATACTAAAAATTTGATACCTAATTATTATTATTATTGAAATGATAATTATAATTTTAATGAATGAACTATTTTTAAATAAAAAATAAGAGATTAAATTTGGAGTAGTATGATCAAATAACATTATACTTTTTAAATTTACTTTTTAAAAGTTTCAAATAATTATGTTTTTTATATTTGCTTTCAACCACTATTAAAATTTTCTTTCAAAATGTACTTTTTTATAAAATATTTTACTCAAACAACTTCTAACATTTTAAAAGTAAAATTTTACTTTTTGAAATGAAACGCAAGAAAAACCAAACTAGCCTCTAGTAAAGAAGAAAAAGAAAACTACAAGAATTTAGATTTGGATATTATTACAAATAATCCACTCCTTTTTCTTGCTCTTCTTCTTCTTCTTTTGGATATGCAGTAAACCACTCTTGTTTAATAAAATGAGTATAAATGTGTGGTGTAAAAAATATTATTTTATTACTGACATAAAAAATAAATATAAAAAGTTCAGAATTTAATATTTATAATTTATCATTAAAATTCTACCTTTTTAAACTTAAATTTTTTTAATTTATCAATTTATTTTTTATTTTTTATTTTACCTTTTTGAAAAATTGTAATTTTAAGTTTAATATTTTTCTAAAAATATTAAATTAGTTACAAAAATATACATATACATACATACATGTGTGTGTGGGGGGAAACCTATGTCCATTTTCTTCTTCATACATCTTAACTAGTTTTTAAATTAAATCATTCAAAGAAATTTTAGTTTATAAAACTAACTTTGAAAAATCTATCTAAACATAAATCACGTAAAAGTTATATATTTTTTTTAACATGCTAACCTCAGTTAATTATAACTTTAGTTGTAAATTTTTTAATCCAAACACACACCCTAATAACTCAAATGAGATGTGCTTATTCAAGCAAAGTTTAATTCAAGCCGAGCTTATCATTTGAATTAGTTTAAAATACATGAACATATAAAAAAACTTATATAGATAAGCCCGATCCTAACATATTAGGCTTTTGAGTTTATTTGAACTAGCTTGAATACCTAACTTGTTAAATTTTTTTCTTTTTTAGCTAATTTCAATTTTTATTTTTAAAAAAATTAGTATTTTCAATTTTATCTTGTTTTAATATTATTTTATTACTAATTAATAAAGAATTTAGATATTCAAACTAAGTCCACTCTAATTCAGATTTGGCCTAATTTTTTTAAATTTATATGGACAATTTATACAAACTTAATTTTTTAAGCTTATTCAAGCTTAACTCAAATTATCATTTTTAGTGAAAGTGATTTACCCAAGGAGCTCGTCAAAGGCACCAGCAAAAGGATAGTGGGATGTGTGTAGGATATATTTTATTATTAAAAACAATGAGATGCAAAATTCAAATATCGATTCTGACAATTACAAACATAAATCTCATATACAATCTAATAATTATATTTAAAACTTAAATATTTTATCATTTTTTTGAAAATTTTGTTGGGATCTAAGTGTCATTAATTCAAAGTTTTGGAACTTAACTGTTATTATTGCTTGAAAAATCCATGCATGTCCTTACGTTTTTTTGGGGCAAGATTTAAGTACTTGACTTTATATACTTAATATATTCTAATTAATTCAATCAAAATAAGACAAGTGAATTTCAACATTTTAATAATATTAATAACAAGATTTTGTTATATAATAAATAATATATAAAAAATTCACATGTCTTCATTTAATTAAAATTAAGCACATTGAACATATAAGGTTAAATATATAAGTTTTATTTATTTATTCCATAAGGCATAGTAGAAGAGTCATCTCAATTAATTCTCTCAATTAAAATTTGTGTCAAATGGTCTGATTTATATTATGTGTGTTTATATCGGTTGGCTACACAATATTCTTTCTAGTTTTATTTATAAATTATTTTAAAAATATTTTACTGAAACAAAAAAAATTTAAAGTTATTGACTATCTAAATATTTTCTCTCACCAACATTTAATAAAAAGTAAAGTAAAAAATTTATAATAAACATTTAATGATTTGACTTGTAAATACAAAACTAAAAAAAAAATTCTCTCTATACTTTGTAAATAAAACTAAGATAGTATTTTATTCTAAGGATATGAAATGACAGGTGCGGAAGAACTCGGACGTTTTTGCTTGATTCTCAATTGCATACATTTGTGTGACATCGAATATATGAATCTTTTTTCTTTTTGTTTTATTTTCTCTTCTATCATCATCTCAAAATCCTTTGAATTTAATAAGAAAATTAAAGAGAGAAATCACTGAAAGTGGGAAATATATTGAAGCTTTTGACCTAGAAATTGAGCGATTGATCAGAAGTCATGGGGAATTAAACATCCAATCTGATTCACGCCTTAAAGGGAGTTCCCCTCTTTATATATATATATATATATATATAACTATAAGGAGTAGGATCTGCCCACAACATATTTCCCTGAAATACGAAGAGTAATATAAGTAAACATCTCCCAAGTAAATCACAAAATACACTAGAATTAAAATTCAAACTTTCAACCAATTACACCAATTTTAATCAACACTGGCTTCGCGTTGTATGAGAGAGGGTGGTGGGGCCTAGAGGATATATATATTATATATATATTGATTTTGATAGATGGTTTTACATTTTTACTTAATTTTTTACTTACTCTTTCATCAAACTTTTGATTAGATATTGAATTTCGCTCAAACATAGTTAATCATGTAGCAATTAATACATTATGGATATGCACAGTTAAACTGCTGATGATCGCCTAATTATCAAATAATTTAACATGTGAGTTATTTTTTTTTCCTGATATAAATCATATATACATATTTAATAATATACGATGGTTGTGTCACATCAACGTTTAAGATTGAGACTAATTAAAATATAAAAATTGATACATGAATGATTAGTTTATGTAAAATTTTGTAATTAATGATCCAATTATGTGGAATAAATATCCTTGCGATTGATCTGTTTTTGTCCTATCTGTTACCAGTCACACCTGTCATATATAGATTGAAACGATCCTCTCAATCACAATATGCTTTTTTTATTTTTTTTATTTTCTAGTTCTTACCCCATATTATTTCGTTTAAGACTACTCCAGTAGGTATATGTATGATTAAAAGTCTAAAAGCGAAGGAAAAAAGTGAAAAGTTAAAGATGAGGGGCATATATTTCATTCAAAAAAAAAGAAGAAGAAGAAGATGAGGGGCATATATGAATGCAACAAGTTACAAGCGGTTGGTTATAAGAAAATGGCACAAGAGAGTTATGATCTCTTGGCCAACTTATTCGATCTGCTTAATTATAATACATAATACTTTTGGGAGAGATAATCTCAATTGGATATGATAATACTCCAATTTAATCCGATTAAAGAGTCATATAAAAAAACTCAATACAAATTAAATTAGATGACCCATATATAATTTGATTAGCGAAATGGCTTAGACTTCTTGAGGTCAAGAAAAACACCAGCGAATGATCCAAAAATAGCTGCAATGGAGACCACGAGACACGCCATGCTTAGCACTTGAAGGCAAACCCACTTGCCACTCCATTTTTGTATCTTCTTCTGTTTAATATACATTTCCACCGGAAAATACACGTTCAGAGGCCAAAACCCTAATGCCCCGATGATCCCCATCACATCATTGAAGAATGGAAGCAACATGGACACCAATGTGGTGACTACCACGTAACACGTCCTTGAAACCAACCTGAACAAACTCAGACTATAGTGAGCATTAAAACCAAGAATTGGTGAGGGGACTTTGAATTCTTTGTTCAAGAGCTTGCTTCTGGGAAATCTCTGTGAGGCTTGTTTGTCGATGAAGGCGAAGATGGGTTGAGAGAAAACTTGGTAAGCTCCGATGAGGTGAACAGCTATGGCGGCGTTGGCAATGTCAAGAAGCCAGAAGGGGTTGGAGAAGGCCAAGTCAGTGAGGAGATTGGGAGGTGAGTTGTCTCCGAGAGCAGCGTAGCCCATGCAGCCACACAGCATGCAGAAGATTGTGGTCGCTGCTGTACTTATCTTTGTTGCTTTCTTCATTGTCTTTGCTTCTGATGGTGGTGACTTTATGGTGTCCTTTGTACATATTCATATAAGATATTCGTTAGTATTCCACCTTTTTGGTAATTAGAGATGGGACAATAAAATTTTTATATGATTGTTATTTGGAAGAAAATTAATCATTTAATATCATAATTTTAACTTATTGTAAATCATTCCTTAAATTTTAACTTATATTGCAAGCCAATTGGTCAATATTTTGACTTATTGAAACTCAATCATTTATAATTTTATAGCAGTTTAAAATAATAGTCCCTAAGATGAAGAAAAATAACTTTATTTCTTATAATTTTAGTTTTTAAAACATAGAAATTAATATTTTAAATGGTTAAGATTGTATGGATTGAGTTACACTGAGTTAAAGTGTAAGAACTGAATTTTAACATAATCAAATTGTAAAAATTAAGTGACATCGAGTTAAAATTTAAGAATTGAATTTTAATTGAATGAAAATTATAAAGACTAAAATAATTAGTTTTTGTTATTATTTTAAAAGGAAAGAGTATATATACCTGAATTTCAATGAGCACAACAGAGAATGAGTAAGCAAAGGCTATATCGCCAAGAGCTTGTGAACTCCTCCATATTTTTTGGGCTTGAGTCACAGTAGTTCCTGATCCATTGCTTATTCCTGTGAGGCTGCCCTTAATTTTACCACTTTCTGCTCAATATGGTCATAAATTAAATCCCAACCAAGTTAATCAGGGCAAATAATCTCATAGGTTGGGTTTTTATATGGACAATGCTATAATTGAAAATAATTGAACAACAAGCATTTTGATCGAATAACTAATTAACCAACCCGCAACTTTAGCGATTCCAAGGGAGAGGCCAATGGTGGAGTAGGTAAAAGACATGATAGCAGCAACGGTAGAGAGCCACCAGATCTGATCAAAGTCTGGGATTTGGGACAGAAATACCTCAATTACCCCAAAACCTATCATGTACGGATTGCTTGAGACGTTGCATCCCTTTCCTCTCGCCTTTTCATGGAAACAATTCGACCTTTTGATTGCCCTGTCTCTCCCAAAAAAAAAAACAACAACGACGACGACGACGACAACACAGAGAGAGAGAGACCATTATGGGAATATCACTACTTCCTAATTACAATTACTTTGCATTTTGGTAAATTTAAGGTAGTACGTAGCGAATAGTAAAACTGACATCATGCTGATGGAAGCAGCGATAGTGTATCCTATTGCGACTCCCACGAGACTCAGATACTGAAATGTCCCACACAACTTCACATGAACTCCACCTGCACGCACGAAACATTACATTAGTAGCGTGATAATTGAATAAGTGAAGATCACAGCAGATTAATTAATTAACTGATGGTGAAAGGTGAGAGATAAATAATTGTGAGTGTGTACCTAGAATGGAAGAAACAGCGTCCATGTAGGTGTAGTTCCTCTTGCCGGAAACGGCGTCGTGCAGACGATAACAATCACAAAGCATGGAAGAAGTATAGAGAACGACAAAGGCGAACAGCAACATGACGAAAGGACCAGCGATCCAGCCCAGCTGAGCGACTGCCCACGCTAAGGATAGCACACCCGATCCTATCACCGCCGTTATTATGTGTGAACTCGCCGTCCACACTGTGCCTGCACTCTCATCATCACTTCACCATCGTCAGTGATTCATTATCTTCTTTAATTCCTATATATGCAAAGTTGGTGTGTGTGTGTCTGTGTGTGTGTAGGAGATCGTACGTACCAGTTCGTTTAAGACGGCCATCGTCGTCAAAGAATTTAGAGGGAGGATCGACAACATCTAGGGACTTCTCGACGTCGTCGAAAGCTTCATGTTGGCTAAGGTTGTTCTTCGAAGCCATGTCGTCTCTTATGAAACGCTCACTCACCAAAGTGGGTATTTATATACTAAAAAAAAAAAAAAACTTTCAACAGCGACTTTCAGCAGTGACTCCAAAAAGTTATCGCTGATTCTCAATTTTCAGCGGCCGACAATAAAAATCACCATAAGTGTGACTTTCTACAACAACATTTAAAGTCACTGCAGAAATTCAACAGACTTTCAGTAACGACAAATGCATGTCATCGTAGAAAGTCACACTTTCAAGGGCGGCTTTAACTTTTATCGCTAAAAATTTAATTTTGTATTATCATCATAATTTTATTTTTATTTATCTAATATTTAATATTTTAAGACATTAATTTTGTTGCATTATTGTAATTTTATAATGAATATATAAAATAACATAATGAGTTTTTATTTAATATATTCTATTGTTAAATTATAATTTTAATATAAGGTTAAGGTATTATTTAATACAAATGAGCTAAAGTAAAGAATTAAGCCAAACCATATTATTTTACGTGTGTGTTTGTATTAAAATATTTACAACTAAGGTTAAGATTCAACCAAAGTTAGCAAACTAAGGTTAAAAACAAAGTCAGTAAATGTAATATGATTTATATTTGAATATATTTTTTAAAAAAGTCTATTAGATAAATTGAAATTTATTTGAATAATTTTATTCAAAAGTCAGTTGAGATGTTTAATGTCCAAAATAATCATGAATTTTTTAATATATATTTTTTAACTAATTAATAACTAAAGAAAATTAAATTTAAAATTATAAATAATAAGTAAAAAATTTTAAATATTTAAAATAGAAGAGAAGAGAGAGAAAGCATAAGTCATGAATCAATGTAGAAATCAATAACACTACTTGTTTATAATAATTAAACATGTGATACATAAATTTATTCATTCATAGAATGATATTTCATCTAATCTAATTTTTTAATTTAAATTCTACATCTAACACCAATAACTTTAAAGCTTGATGCTAATTTAAAAACATAAATAATTATAAACTAATGTATAATCATCAGTATTTTTTACTATTTATTCTTTAGATATTTTTTATATTATAATTATAAATATAAATATTAAAATAAATAATATAACAACCTCGAGAAGTAAAAAAATTAAAATAAATAATACAAATGATATTGTATTAATTATATTTATAGTTTACTTTAAACAAAATAAATAATATAATTTGTAATTTTATAAATTAAAAGAATTAAATTGAAGTATTTAAGGATAGTAATGATATTTTATAATTTTTAATATATGTGTGTGTTTGTATAGTTTAATAATGCGTGTGTGTATTTAATTATGCAATAATAGACTACAAATTCATTCTAACTCAGTGACAAAATGATTAGACATAAAAGAAAGAGGTCACGGGTTCAAATTTTGGAGGAGATAACTTTCAAAATGAAAATATAAATTGGTGACATGATGACATGTGGTGTGTGGTGAGAGCGACATATGAAGAGTGACATGGCGTCACATAGCGTGAGGTGAGGGCGACATGTGGAGGATGACATGGCGCCATGTGATGCAAGATGGGGCCCTATGTAGAGGGTGACATAGCGCCACGTGGGGTGAGGTGAGGCGCCATGTGGATGGTGATGTGGTGCCATGTGTGTAAGTGAATCAATATTACTTTTCAGCGGTGACAAAATAGTTGTTACTGATGTGTGGTTTTTACGGCGACAAAATGTCGCCGTCGATTTTCAAAAAACATATATAGAAGACTGCATAAAGTAAAACATAGAAGGTCAAAAAAAGAATAAATTAATGTAGAATATTTAAAAAAACATGTTTATTCAAGTGGGTTTGAATAATGCTGCACATGAATTTATGCACATATCATGTAGGAGTTAGAGCCGATAATTTGAACGAGATAAGCTAATTCAAGTGAGCCTCAATTTGGGTTAACTTATTTAGATTGAGATTAAAATACCTAAATATATGAAAAAGTTTATGTAATCAAGTTCGATCCTAATACCTCAGGCTTTCGGGCTAATTATTCAGGCTAGCCTAGATATTTGACTTGTTAAATATTATTTTACTTTTATTTTTTAGCTAATTTTAATTTTTCATATTAAAAAATTAATATTATTTTACTTTTATTTTTTTAGCTAATTTCAATTTTTTATATTAAAAAATTAATATTTTTATTTTTTATATCTTATTTAAATATTATTTTATTACTAATAAATAAAGAATTCACGTATTTGGGCTGAACATATTTAGGTTCGGGCCTTAATTTTTTCAGGCTTATTCAGGCAATCAAAATAAACCTGGAGTAACAAATTTTTTTTTTTAACTTTCAAGTCCAACTCTAAAATTTTTTAAACTTATTTCAGCTTGGCTCAAATTACCACCTCTATCCAGAATGGTTTAGTCAAGCAACTTATCAAAGGCATCACAAAAAACGTGGTGTGTGTCTGTTTGTTTAAGATGAAAAAATAAATAAATTTTAAAAAGTTCAGATATTTTATAAAAAAGCATACATTATTTCATGTTTGGTTATAATAATAAAAATAATTATTTGTTAATTATTTTTAAATTTTATGATATCTTCCTTAATTTTTGTTTTATAAAAATAATTTATTACTATATTATTTTAAATTTTTATGATATATTTGTATGTCTCTCCTTTTTAAAAAATTCTCTTTTATCTATCATGTTAGAGTATTTTAAAAAATTACTCAAAACAACTTTTTAAAATAATAAAAATTTTGCTTTTTTTTAGATTTAAATTATTTTCAAAAATTTTAAAAAATATCATAAAAACTCAAAAAATAAATTTTTTATAAAATAAGCAAAAAAAAGGCTCATTTATACTATAATATATTATATTATTAAAAATAATAAGATGCAAAATGCAAATATCAATTTATAATTACAAATATAAATCTCATATACAATCTAAAAATTACATTTAAAACTTAAATATTTTATCTGTATTTAAAAATTATGAATTTATACTCATTTGAATCGATATTTGCAGCACCTTTTTTTAGAAATTTTGTTGGGATATAAATGTTATTAATTCAAATTTTTGAAACTTAACTGTTGTTATTCATTAAAAAATGCATTCATGTTCTTATTTTTTGGTTTAGGGCAAGATTTAGGTGCTTGACATTATATACTTAATATATTTTAATTAATTGAATCAAATCAAAATAAGTGGAATTTAACATGTTAATAATATTAATAATAATATTTGTTATATAATAAATAATATATAAAAAATATACATGTCTTCATTTAGTTAAAATTAAGCACATTAAACATATAAGGTTAAGCATATATTTTTTTCTTTTTTATTTATTCCATAAGCCATAGTAGATGAGTCACCTCAATTAATTCCCTCAATTAAAATTTGTGTCAAATAGTGAGATTTGTATTATAAGTGTGTGTGGGGTTTGGATACACGATACTCCCTCTCGTTTTATTTATTAGTTATTTTAAAAATATTTCATGGAAACAAAGAAAAATATTTAAACTTATTAACTATCTGGATATTTTTTAAATTTCTAACTTTATCCTAATTAAATAGACATTATTTAATAACTTATTTCTTCTTACCAACGTTTAATAAAGGATAAAATAAAAAATTTATAATAAACATTTAATAGTATAACTTATAAATACAAAATTAAAAAATTCTCTTTATCTTATAAATAAAAATGGCGTGATGTAGTATTTTGTATTGAGTATATGAAATGTCAGGTGCGGAGGAACTGGGACATTTTTACTTGATTCCGAATTATATTTGTATGCGTGACATCGAATATGTAAATTACTATATTCTCCTCGATCATCTTCTCAGAATTCTTTTGAATTTAATGAGAAGATTAAAGGAAGAGATCAGGAACCACAAAAAGTGATGGGGAATATATTGAAGCTTTTGACCTAGAGACTGAGTGGGTGATCAATACAAATATGAAGAATCAAGCATCCAATCCAACCTGACTCATGCCTTTAAGGCAGTTCCCATGATTTTTGTTTTTTTAATTAGTGAAAGGAGCAGACTTTATTGATTGAAAAAAAAGATCTCCCTCAAAATAAAAATAATGAGTAAACATCTTTCAATTACATTATTAAATACATTAAAGTTAAGATTCAAACCCTCAACTATATTCACATTAGTTTATTAATTAATGCTAGTTCCGTGTTCTACGAGAGAGGTTGCTGGCGCTTGGGGGATATATTTCTATATGTATGCACACACATATAGATATATAATTGATACTTTTAATATATATATATATATATATAGATAGATAGTTTTACTTAATGCTTAGTCTTTATCATCAAACTTTTGATTATATCTTGAATTTAGCTCAAATATACTTCCTCTGTCTTTATATATAAAATGTTGTTAGCATATTTTTTAATAAATAAATTATTATATCTTTATTAAATTGAAAAGAGAAGAAGATAAGAACTTTTATTAATTTATTTAAAAAAAAATTCGTTTTTTATTTTTAATAATTAGGAGTAAAATTGAATTATTATTAAATTTTTAATTAAAAAACTAATTTTTATTAATTTATATAATTATGTTAGAAATATTTTATATACAACCACGGAGAGAGTCATTAATTATGTAGCAATTAATACATTATGGATGTACATGATGATCACCTAATTATCAAATAATTTAACATATCTTGTGACATGTCACATACGTGAGTTAATTTTTTTTTCTGATCTAAATCGCATATACACATTTAATAATGCGCGACGGTTGTCTAATCACATCAACGTTTAAGACGGGGACTGATTAAAGTATAAATTCATGTATATGAATGATTAGTATATGTAAAATTTTGTAATTAATAATCCAATTCTGTGGAATAAATATCTGTACGATTGATCTGTTTTTGTCCTATCTGTTATCGGTCACACCTGTCATATATGCTTTGAAAGTTGAAACGATCCTCTCAATCTCAATATGCTTCTTATATGATTGTCTAGAAGTGAAGCAAAAAGG